AGAGAGAGAGAGAGAGAGAGAGAGAGAGAGAGAGAGAGAGAGAGAGAGAGAATGAGAATGAGAGACAAGGAAACATTAGACAGACACACAGAGATCATGACGGAGGGAAGTAGTAGAAACAGACAGAAAAGAATCAAGTGTCTGAACTGGGATCACATTCCAGAGAAAGATGCCATCCACTGGGTGATGCGCCAGTACAGAGACACCAGTTGCCCAGCCCCAGCTGGGACTAAAACGCTTGTCAAATGAATGAAAAGTCCCAGGAAGAGCCCCAGAAAGACAAACCCAGAGACCTCTCAGAGGAGATGACAAGGGAGATCCCAGCCAGTCCTAGAGACAGGGAGATGGAGCCAGTGACCCCTCTCTTGAGAGTCACCCCTCCTCTGTGGTCCAAACCTAGCCTTTTACCTGCTGAGCTGCACGGGCAGCTGAGGGGTGCTCTGGAGTAGACTGGCCATGGGTACTCTGGTGGTGTGCCCTGCAGCTTTGGGTGTGCCGAGAGTGGGGGTAAGGGCTGCTCTTAAGTCATCTCTGTCTATATCCCCTTGCTCTCTTTCCAAGTTCTCCCAGTGATCTTTATTCTCCCCATCTTCATGCCCTAGCTTGTGTACCCCTGGGCTCACAGTCAGCTGGGATGCTGCCCTTGGAAGCCACTTTTGCCCTTTAGGACTAGTCGGGCCAGGCTGACCTCAGCTCTTCTCACTGTGGTCAGTGGTGGTCATTTGCCCTGGAGTGGGGCAAAGGCTTTTCCGCTTTTGCCATCTGGGGCTCTGGGTCTGATTTGGAAGGATGGGTTGAGGGACTGTGGCAAAATGATAGGCCAGGTATGGGGGCTGGGTCTCTTTGGTGTTTTGGGCATTTGGTTCTATTTCCCTGCCTGGCTGTGTGACCTTGGGCAAGTCACACTTTCTGTCCTGAGCAGGAGTTTCTCATTCTCCAGGGCCTATTTCCATAGCTCTTCACACTTTCTCTTTCTCACTTTGTCTCTGAAATTCTGTCTCTCGCTTTGCTTCTGCCTCTACAATCTCTGCCTCTATGTTTTTTTTTTTGGTCTCTCATGTCCCTGTCTCTCTCTCCCTCTGTGTCTCTGTGTCTTTGTCTCTCACTATTTTGTCTCTGATTCTCTCTGTGGCCTTTCTGTTTCTGCTTCTCTCTCCCTGTAAGGCTTTCTCAGTCACCGTCTCCTCAGGACTCTGGGTCTTTCTCGCTCTCGCTCTCTCCCTCCCTCTCTCTTTCTGTTTGTCTGTCTTGCCTCCACTAGTCAGATTGCAGTGGGCAGGACTGAAGCCAGGCTGGTGCTGAAGCAGTATTTGGGAGAAAGGTGGGGCAGATGGAAGCCCCAGGAGAAAGAATATCAGATCTGAATAGTCCTTTCCCCTGTTCTCCGAAGCCTCTCGTGAGCTCTGGCTGCTGTTGGCCCCTGCCCCAGAAACTGGCCTTATTTCTCAAACCCCTGGCCAAGTCAGAAGAGCAGGTTGCCAAAACCTGGAGCGGGGGTGGGACTCCAGTGCCTGGGGGTAGCTTGGGGGAGAGACCCCCTGAAGGCAAATGTCTGGAAGCCTGGATGGAGGTGTGCAAGCTCCCCCATGTGTCCAGTATTTTCACTGTAGCATCTTTGCCACAAGCTTTTTTTTTTTTTTTTTTTTTTTTTNGCCAGCAGCCAGCGTGAGCGGCCAGCAGCCGCAGTGAGCGGCCGTCCAGAAGCCGGCGACTGATCTGCCTCGCCTGGGAAGAGCGCAATGATGGTGCTAACTTGGGCCAGTGAAGCAACGTCCTCCACTGAAGAACTAGACTGAAGAACAAAATGACAGCAACTTGTCTGTTCCCCTTCCCCTAATTCCCCAGCGCTGTTCCCATCCCCCCAATTCCCCAATAAAAATCTTAAAAAAAAAATTAAATGGTAACTACTTTTAGTAATAGGTAATGTATGTATCTGGATGTTTTCTGTGCAAAAGTAACAAGGGGACTTTCTGAACTTCCCTGTCTCTACCTCCTTGCATCTGGTGTACTTGGACAGGTGAAGTCATAAAGTCAAGCCCAGGGAAGAGGACATGAAGGAGGAAAGTGTATCCAATACACAATAGATGTTTTGTTTTGTTTTTACCAGAACTCTTGAATTCAAAATCTTGGGGCACTTGGGGTCCATCTAGTGAAGGGGCCAGAGGAGGAACCCTGGGGATTCTTTAGGGAGAGAAGAATAGTTCAGGCTACAGATCTCTGGGACCCCCTTTTTAATCAGAGCAGCTTTCTTTTTTCTCTCTCTCTTTCATCATTTACAGGGCCTGGTCATATGGCTTCCTTTGAATAAAAGGTTTATGTTAAAAAAAACGGAATACCATTAAGACTAGGTGATCTCCAAGCCTAAGGAGGACAGGCTGTTGAGATAGGATAGATTCATAGTTAGTGATGAGTTGCTGGATGGGTGGGGATGGCAATGGGGCATGAAGGAGGTCTGGGGATTGATGATAAATTGGGTTTGAGGTTGATGATGGAGCTGGGTAGAATAAGAAGAATTGGTAGATTGGGGTTAAGATTGAGCTTGGGATTGGATAGATATATGATGGGGTTGTTTTTATAGTAGTGGGATTCAGATTGAAAATGGGAACTGGGTACTGACGACTTCAACAGGTGATTGGGATAGAAAATAGGGTTGGGGCTGGGGAGAAAAATGATAGTGGAGTTCAGTGTGACTAAAGGATGAAGGTAAGGTTGATAATATATTTTAACATAGGGATTGGGAAGGCGTTCATAATGGGAGTTGAGGTTGGGGTGAGATGTACTTACTGTTGCAGATAAAGATGGAGTTGAGGTTGAAATGGGGAACATGGAAGCAGGGGTGATGGGGATTGGGTTGAGGTGGTCAGTGTGGGCTGGGGCCAAATAATTTGGTCATTTGATCAACATGGAAATTTGATGATGTGGTTGGAATGGAAATAGGGATTGGGATAAGAATGGGGTTGGAGTTGGATGGACATGGGGATTGGTAGGAAGTGCAATTCAAATAGTGGTGAGATTTGGGGGTGGGGAAGGCAGGACAGACTTCACTCTAGACTAGCACTGCCTGGCTCCACCCCATGTGGTATCATTGGTGAGATCAGCGGCTCTGAATGTCACCAAAATTGGGAAGACCGTCTCCTACCATATCCCCTCTTTCAATGTGGAATGGGCTGGGGGTGAAGGAGATGGGAAGCAGGCTTACCATTGCCCTTAGTGAAGTTAAAAATGGCGGGGTAGCTGCCGCGGCCACTGAACTCCTCCCCCTTGTCCACAAGGGCCTCCTTCACGGTTTGGTACCCGCTGAGAACCACCACCTGCCTGGTCCCCAGGTGCACTGTGTACACGGAGCCATACTCCTTGCTCAGCTGGGGGCAGAAAGACAGAGGTCATGGCGGGGGATGGGGCTGTGGGACCCCTCTCCCTGGTCCTCCCTCCTCCCCCAAGCCTAGCCCTGTTACCTTGGTGAGAGAGGTTACTATGTTTTGGGAGTTAAGCTGCAGCAGATTTCCCAGGATTGGAAGGGGCCTGGGGCCTGGGGGCAGCCGGCCTTTGCCCCTTGAGCTGAGAGTCAGGAACAGACAGGTGAGAACCAGGAGCAGGAGCAAGATGGCTGTGCTTATACTGTCCATGGTAAAGGCAGCTGCAGGCATCTGGGGGACAAAGTGGGAGAAGGCAGGGCCGGGAGGGAGTGGGACTTGACTTTTTCCAGGCCCTGGAAGTGAGGGCACATGGAGAGAAGAAATGAGGTAGATAGAGAAGCAGAGACAGGCAAAGGCAGGAGAAGGGAAAAGAAGACAGAAGGAGCCAGGAGGGAGGGAAGGCAAGGGAGAAAGGGAGAGGGAGAGAGAAAGAGAGAGAGAGAGAGAGAGAGAGAGAGAGAGAGAGAGAGAGAGAGAGAGAGAGAGTTGGAAAATAGAGGCCTAAGTAGTCAAAATACAGAGACAGTAAGAGAGACAGAAGTAGAGACAGAGATAGATGGAGAGGGACAGAAGAGAGATACACATGGAGATAATAAGGGATACTGAAAAACATCTAAATATTTATAGGTGTCTGTCTGTCTATCATCTATCATGAGACTGTCACACAGAGACAGTGATTAAAGAGAGATAGAGATCCACAGGAACAGAGACAGACAAGTCAAGACAGATAGAGAGCCAGACAGAGAGAAAATCACAGAAAGAGAGGCTGACAGAGAGTGACTAGAGAAAGAGACAGAACTAGAGAGACACAGAGCTAGAGAAAGAAGAGAGAGATGGAGAGGCAGAGCTAAACACAGAGAGTGATACAGAGAGATAGGAAAGAGATACATAGAGACAGAGATGAAAACAAATAATATAAATGGAGCCGCATTAAAATGGAGTCAGAGCTGCCATCATAGAGGAACTGCCTTGTATCTCATGTTTCAAAGTTCCGGAATGTTAAAAAAGGGTAACATGGTGTCCCAGAGAACTGCTTGCAAAAATAACAAGAAAGCAATTATTATGACTACTGACTGGACTGAAAATTAAAAACATTCTGTTCAATAAGTGTAACTATGGTATATTATCCGCACCAATAGAAATGTCTTCCTTCTATTGATGTAATCGTTCTCCTTCCCTTTCTCATAAATCCCCCTTGCTTTTGTCTCATAATTGGAACACTGTTTTGGTTTCTCCCTGAATCAGTGCTTCCTGAATAGCTATTCTTACTGATCTCAAATAAATGTTTGTTGTCTCTCACTTTGGCCTTTTATTTTTAAGTTAACAGAGAGACAGAATAGTGAGATACACAGAGACAGAGAGACATGTAGACAGAGAGAGAGAGAGAGAAAGAGAGAGAGAGAGAGAGAGAGAGAGAGAGAGAGAGAGAGAGAGA